AAATAAATACAATTTAATTATACATTAGACATTCACTAGATCAGTGTTTGGTTGCAGAGTGACATTTGACTCAGATTATGTTCTATATTACATGTCAGGGACTTGTTGGCGACAATAACGGCTATGCCATACAATTATCTCACCTGTTATTTACGTGCCACGCATGTTTTTTTATGAGACAAATAACCGAGTAAAATAATTGCGTATTCATTAAGGTTATTAAAAATGCAGACTAGTTCAGTTATGATTCATGTAAATGAATGGGTATGAAAAAAAGATTGGTTTTCTGCAACCACAATTCTTTTGTGGTGGGCAATTAAAGCCTCAAGACAGCATGTGGCTAAACACAAGGTGGCAGGGGATGCTACATATGGGGCCACTTAGAAATGCTGTGCTTGCCTCTTGAGTGAAGATTTCGCTGATTTAAAACCTAATTCCAGCATTGCTGCTGTGTGGGAGGCCCGGAATCCCAGGGCATGCAATTGACTTTCCCACCTCGCGTGGACTTTTTAAGGAGCACCGAACCGTTATAATAATTCCGTGAATTTGCCAACCACGATGACGCTTCCGTCGCAAGGCAATTCGTTAAATGGCCACGTGGCATTCATTTCCAAAAATGAAAACGTGGACCCCGTTACAAAAGAGACAAACTACTGCAGGTTTTGTATGCGAAACACCAGCGCCTTTGCGTTAGCCCCGTGCTATAAGATGGCACGAATGCCCAATGTACCAATTGTTTGATTTGAAATGCAGTTATAAAGAAGAGTGTGTACTGGTAGATTTAAAAAAAAATCGGTAAGCAGGGCTCTTTAATAATATAGATACATTGCTGACCGAAAAACAGGACAAAAATGATTACTTTTATTCATATGTGGTTGTATTATAATGGATTTGTGATGTTTGTACAGAGACACGGAATATTTAATTAATCAGCTTAATAAATCACTATTACCATTGGGACTAAGTCAATTAATTCGAAATACAGGTGTGTATGCTTATGCACGTGCGGATTGTGCCCACATTGGTAAGTAGTTGAATAACATTTACGAGCTATTGCATCATCAGTACGTCCACCACATCAAGGATAATTAAGATCATAGTCGGTGGATAGGCTTCTGATTAAACACATTCCACGTGACTTCAGTTTGCATTTCAATTGCACACATTTATACGCCCACCATATAGACAGAGCACATGTGGATTTGTGAAACCTCATCTTGTAATTAAGGCGGTGTTACGACAATTGACTCGACAATGGAAAAGAGAAAGATGTGTTAGGAATCCTACAAAATAGATTTCCTGCACCCTCTTGAGCATAGAACATTTTATTTCGCAAACAATATACGGTAAATTTTTGACGTAAAGCTTTCGTGACTGCAGTGATTCATATTCTTGGTTCTTTCGGTAAAGTCACGTCAGGTGTGATGATGACTGCTTGTGTTGCATCCGCAACGTCGTGACAATTTTATTGTTTTATATATTTTATTATTTTATTGTTTTCCCTTCAACGTGACTTTACCGAAAGAACCAAGAATATAATATACGGTAAATTGCATGTTTCACGGATATAAAAAATGCCTCCAATACTCGCACACTTATACGAGGAATGACCCTCAAGAAAATGTATATTTCGGAATACAGCAGCTACACATTGATACAGCACCTCTCAGGACCTCCGACTAGCACGGTTGGCGATGTACGGTACGAACGAAGTTCAACATACATCAAGACTTCACTGAATCCATCCATGGCCTACATATCAATCTAAAGCACTAATTGAGAAACAATTCTCAGCTGGATGAAGCACAGCTGTCCGTGGTGTAATGTTGAGCACATTGTACTTACAATCCAGAGATCACCGGTTGGATCTCAGTTGCGATAATGGGCAAGTTTCTTAAAGCCCCCAACCCACTCATACCGATTCTGTCCACCCAGCATTATGCGCGAGCACATCGTGGATAGTCGATCGGCAAGTCGTGTGTGGTAGGGTAAAGTATTCCCATATCTCCCAAGATATGTTTTGGTCAGCGTGGAAGAATTGGTCAAAATATTATCTAAAGGGCCTCGTTAGGTCTTCCCCTAGTGGATTCCCCTTCTGTCAGCAGTGGTGTTACCATGTGATTGCAGCCCTGCACCTTTTCCTAAAGCGCAGCTATTTACTGCTTAAATGTAGTGTTTTTTGTTTGTTATTCAACAACTGTCTGTGTTATTTAAAAATAGACACTGATTCAGTAATGGTCCTAAGTGCTGTAAGACTAACAGCATAATAAAGGGTGATTGACCGAGGTAGCCTTAACTGTTCTGCGCATTTTAAAATAGCAAAATAACATGGAATATATGGATACAGTACATTATATTAGTTCATTCCAGGAGTGCGAACATTTAGAGCCTTTTAATGTAAAAATTATCCACTTAACACATACACAAACTGGGAGACAGTGTAATGATGCCAAAACTTCACAATGTGAAATACATTTATAATACCGTGTCACAAAGTTGTCAGCTGAAATCTGTAGAAGTTGCAGCTGGGAGAATGCCATTGCAGATGCATCATGGGACCCTCCCTTGCCAGTATAAAAATATAAGAATAGGTTTTACCCGATCTGGTAATAAAACAGTTCTGTTAAGACATGTTTCCTTGCAAAAGGTTTCTTTTTGGTTTTCGAACATTTTCACACAGCTGTTATATTGCCAGATAGGGTAAAACCTATTTTTATATTTTCATACAGGCAAAGGAGGTCCCATGATGTAGCTGCTCGCCCCGAGCTCTCAATACCCTGATAGTGGCATTGTCTTTGTGCTGTTCGCCTTTCGGCATCCTCTGGTCCAACACTGCTTGAGACTAGGCTCTAAAGAAATCTGTTGCTGGTGTGGACCAATCAGTTTCAAAGGAAATGCATCATCACATACTGGCAGAGCGTGTTTTTTGTTTGCATGTTCACCACAAGTATTTGTGGTTAAAGCAGACAGGATTCCTTGCAAAAGGCTTCAGTTTGTTGTTGGAACATCTTAACACAACTGTTTTATTGCCAGAAAGGGTATAACCTATTCTTATGCCATTGCAGATATTGCCTTGAGAATAGCATTGGAGTAGTCAATTCAACATGAAATAAAAGTGCAGATCAATTTCTGAGCATTGAAGGAGGAAAGGCAGAGCCTGCGACTGAGACCATCAATATTTCTGACGCAGAAAAATATACTTTTTGTAGCACCGTAGATGAGTTTGGAGTTAACAATAACGCCAACTCTTATCATGATAATCAGCCATAGTCAATCCACTGCTGGATATAATCCATTGCCATCTCTCATGATCCTGCAATGTAATAATCCACCTCTCACCTGCACGTGAGCTGATTTCATTACTTCACCTCCATGGTTGATGTCCTCTTGAATGTGGTATATTCCTTGGCTGCCACTCCATCATTATTCTTAATCATTGGCCATCATCCTTTCATTGACCATCATTTTCTCATCAAGGAGCATAAACCATCATCATGCGAATTCCGGTCATCATCGCAGCAGAGATATGCACTTTTAAATCTAGATTTCTAAACTAATTTATTTTAGAACTGCTTTTTGTGTTTATACTATTTGGTTCTTTCGGTAAAGTCACGTAGTTAGAAATAAAATAAAATAAATCACGACGTTTCGAGCGCAACACAAGCGGTCGTCATCAGGCAAAGGAGTCAGCTTCTAAAGGCAAACTGTTTATAAGGGTTTGGGGATAGGCGTAGCCCACGTGTAGCAACAACAACAGCAGAAGCACGTGCGGTGCACGAGTGCCAATGCAGCAGCAATGCCAATGCAGCGACAATGCCAATGCAGCAACAATGCCAATGCAGCAGCAATGCCAAACGCTGGGGGACGCGGGGGGGGGGGGGAATTAACTCGTCCGAGTAGCACGGTTGGCTACGTACGGTACGAAATAATTTCAACATACATACATCCCTTCTCGCGATGTGTCCTGCCCAAGCCCATTTGCTTTTCGTAATACGTGTATGTTTTCTCATCCACATGTTCCTAATTCTATCTTTGGGTGAGTCTGACATATACTTTGATTCTCTGAGAAAGCCACGGATGACACATTCACGAAAGTTTAGATTATATAGTTGAGGTCTGGACCCCAACAAAATGATCACTGTTTTGCGTTTAACTTGATGAAATGTTGCGTCAAAAAATGCGTCCGCTAGACAAGTGCACAACACAGCCGATGCAGATACTACAATCGCGTGTCATTGACATAGGCATCAAAGTTAACTGCCAAAGTACTGAATCATATTGCCCAGTGGTAGCATTGGCGAACGCAAAGGTCCGCTCAGGGACACCAAGGGCCCCTTCAACAAGTGACATGTTAACTTTCTCAATGAAACGAACTGTCACTTAATTAGTAATCAGGAATCAAACCATCTCAGATCAGTGCAAAAACTCACACACTGCCTCTGGGCCAGTCAACAATGAATAATGGCGTGGTATATTGTGTGAAAGTATGAGCTGAAGTCAAGAAAAATCATAACAATAATAGTGCGAAGAAAATAATAATATATCTACATTTATAACACAAGACAGCATTCATATTTGTAATGCGTTAGTTCTGAATGATACATATTTTATAACTGTATAGTGAGAGTATAATCATAAAACATTGGTTGTTCCGAAACAACACAGTGACGCCAGCTAAAATACAATGCTTTTTAACATCAATATAGGAAAATGCATGCGCTGTAGGTGGCAGTGTGTCTTTTTATTTGACGCGACGATAAGAAATGTTATATTGCCACTACCTTACCACGAAAAAAACTAGCCTGTAAACGTTTATTCAGCAATTAAATATTATAATTCTGGATACATTACAATTGTAATTTAGGGAATAAACATAACTGTCAATCATGTTTGCATGCGAGAAAAGTAATTTTAAATGGAATCTGACGATGATTTATTGTAATATTTCAAGTAGAATTTTCTGTTTGCTGTAAGATGAACGTGGGTGCCTTTCTTGTGGGGTTTGTAAGTTATCCCCCTGTTCTGCATGGGTTTCTTTTGGGATCTCCAGTTCCTTCCCACAGATTAAAAACAAAAACTTCATTTAAATTGGCATTGACCAAACATCTCCATGCAGCAAATAATTGGTATGACTCTCCTGTGGAAGCTTGGTATGACTCTCTTGTGGAAGCTTGGTATGACTCTCTTGTGGAAGCTTGGTGGGACTCTCTTGTGGAAGCTTGGCATGACTCTCTTGTGGAAGCTTGGTATGACTCTCCTGTGGAAGCTTGGTATGACTCTCCTGTGGAAGCTTGGTAGGACTCTCCTGTGGAAGCTTGGTATGACTCTCCTGTGGAAGCTTGGTATGACTCTCTTGTGGAAGCTTGGTTGGACTCTTGTGGAAGCTTGGTATGACTCTCTTGTGGAAGCTTGGTATGACTCTCCTGTGGAAGCTTGGTATGACTCTCCTGTGGAAGCTTGGTAGGACTCTCCTGTGGAAGCTTGGTATGACTCTCCTGTGGAAGCTTGGTATGACTCTCTTGTGGAAGCTTGGTTGGACTCTTGTGGAAGCTTGGTATGACTCTCTTGTGGAAGCTTGGTATGACTCTCTTGTGGAAGCTTGGTATGACTCTCCTGTGGAAGCTTGGTATGACTCTTGTGGAAGCTTGGTGGGACTCTCCTGTGGAAGCTTGGTATGACTCTCTTGTGGAAGCTTGGTATGACTCTCCTGTGGAAGCTTGGTATGACTCTCCTGTGGAAGCTTGGTAGGGCTCTCTTGTGGGAGCTTGGTGGGACTCTCTTGTGGAAGCTTGGTATGACTCTCCTGTGGAAGCTTGGTATGACTCTCTTGTGGAAGCTTGGTAAGACTCTCTTGTGGGAGCTTGGTAGGACTCTCTTGTGGAAGCTTGGTATGACTCTCCTGTGGAAGCTTGGTGGGACTCTCTTGTGGAAGCTTGGTATGACTCTCTTGTGGAAGCTTGGTATGACTCTCCTGTGGAAGCTTGGTATGACTCTCCTGTGGAAGCTTGGTATGACTCTCCTGTGGAAGCTTGGTATGACTCTCCTGTGGAAGCTTGGTATGACTCTCTTGTGGAAGCTTGGTATGACTCTCTTTTGAACGCTTGGTATGACTCTCTTGTGGAAGCTTGGTGGGACTCTCCTGTGGAAGCTTGGTATGACTCTCATGTGGAAGCTTGGTAGGACTCTCTTGTGGAAGCTTGGCATGACTCTCTTGTGGAAGCTTGGTATGACTCTCTTGTGGAAGCTTGGTGGGACTCTCCTGTGGAAGCTTGGTATGACTCTCTTGTGGAAGCTTGGTAAAACTCTCTTGTGGAAGCTTGGTGGGACTCTCTTGTGGAAGCTTGGTATGACTCTCTTGTGGAAGCTTGGTGGGACTCTCTTGTAGAAGCTTGGTATGACTCTCCTGTGGAAGCTTGGTATGACTCTCCTGTGTAAGCTTGGTGGGACTCTCCTGTGGAAGCTTGGTATGACTCTCTTGTGGAAGCTTGGTAGGACTCTCTTGTGGAAGCTTGGTGGGACTCTCCTGTGGAAGCTTGGTATGACTCTCCTGTGGAAGCTTGGTGGGACTCTCTTGTGGAAGCTTGGTATGACTCTCTTGTGGAAGCTTGGTGGGACTCTCCTGTGGAAGCTTGGTATGACTCTCATGTGGAAGCTTGGTAGGACTCTCTTGTGGAAGCTTGGTATGACTCTCTTGTGGAAGCTTGGTGGGACTCTCCTGTGGAAGCTTGGTAGGACTCTCATGTGGAAGCTTGGTAGGACTCTCTTGTGGAAGCTTGGTATGACTCTCTTGTGGAAGCTTGGTATGACTCTCCTGTGGAAGCTTGGTATGACTCTCCTGTGGAAGCTTGGTGGGACTCTCTTGTGGAAGCTTGGTTGGACTCTCTTGTGGAAGCTTGGTATGACTCTCATGTGGAAGCTTGGTATGACTCTCCTGTGGAAGCTTGGTATGACTCTCCTGTGGAAGCTTGGTATGACTCTCTTGTGGAAGCTTGGTATGACTCTCTTGTGGAAGCTTGGTATAGCTTGCTTTTTTATCAACTTCGACTTTCACACGGTATACAGTATTGATAACACAATAACGTATACGTTTGTATTTCGTCCATGAAAAAATATATTAACAAGTTATATCAACATTGACCTTACTACGACGATAATTATGCATATCACACCTTGTGCCACACTTTTGGTGATGTGTGATGACAGAAACTTCAAAGTTAGTGCTCACCAAATAACTGTAATTGCTTTTAGTTCAGTGATTAATATGCAATGTTGTCATGAAAAAAAATGCTTTAAATTATACAGGTAGAATGTTGTGACTAATTATATACTGTATGCTCTCATAGGAAATATTCCTGTTTCATAACATCATTAGAGTGTATTTTACCAAATCATTTGGCAGCAATCCAATTGCTAGATATATATTGGTATTGAATATCAAATGGTCCGTTGAATATAATGCTTTCATGTAGGTAATGACACCTTATTGTGTACTAAAAAGACTGTGCTTGCTGTGCACTACTTCAACTCGAAATATACCACGGAAAGGATGATCAAAGCTTTCAGCATTTCAAAGTACGGTCTGTTGTCCCATTGGCCAGTTATAAAACTGAGACAGGATGTAGAAGTGTGATGGAGGAAGCTGAGGCTGCATGAAGTGCAAAGTCAGCCAAAAGCCCCGCAAGTCTTATCAGGCTTGCCTTGACTTTAGATATTTGTGTGTCAGTTATCTTGCTATTTATTACCTGCACTGGGAACTTTATAGCCACTTAGAACTCATTGACATTATTTATAATATTTTGCAAAGGCAGCAGTAATTCATTCCCTCACATAGATGATCTACTCCAGCTTATTTATTAAAATCGACATTTCCATATCTCGCGTGGCTTTTGTTTTATGCGCCGCAGTTTTTAAGACCATTATACTTGTTCACGGTTTACCAAGAATATATCTGTACGTGTGTGTGTGTGTGATTTGTGATTGTGTCTGTGTGTGTAGTTGTACACCGTTCATCCATTGTAGATCAATCTCAAATGTGTGCCACTAAACTTGCCAAGAGGAACGTTTAGCAATCAGGACATTGTCGTGATATGTTACTGGGTGGGACAAGTCATGTATCAGTTTTAATGTCAAGATTAAACTGGTGTTAAAGCATTGATTTCGGCATTGTGGAAGTACGAGGGTATTTGAGATCGCTGGCAAGACATGAGCCATTGCAGTTTGGCAAAGCAGTGCAAGTCTGCTTCGTCTTTTGTTCCTTTTTATACGTGCACTATTGGAGATAAATAAATACGTAATGTTCAGTCTTCATCAGGCTTACTGTGGGTAATGAATGGAACGCTCGTATTTCCCCACATGGGATTGTTACCTTTGGCATTGTCTGAGAGGGAGTATGGCATGAATGTTGAAAATTTTAAATATATTGCATGTCAAATACACACTTATAAACTAAACATTTCAATGTAACATGCACTTTTAATATAAAGAATGAAGTCTTTGATAACAGCTGAATGCTGCCCTTATGTATGCATAAAAAATATGCTTGTAAAAAAATCGAACATTCTAAGATATCCTGGTGACTCCAGTCAGTCTCAAGTCCCTGCAGCTAATTATTGTCAGTGCTTAGTGAGCTGCGTTGCATATTTCTGTGCATTCAGTAAACTTTAGAAAATATATTTTTAAACACCATCACCAGGCAGTCGCTCTCTGCGGTCAATGTTGATTGTTTCATCGATTGAACCCAAATGGCATTGCGATTCTGGGGCTAAACTTTTAAAATGTCATCGCCGTGCAATGTATTCACCAAGAGCTGCATGAGATACGTTTGATTGTTTGAAACAACTGTGTTTTTTTGTTATATAATGATCAAACCCTGCAGCATATAGTGAAATGTTCGCGTTTGAACACTGCTCCGAGGTTTTTATTTTATACAACCGGTGTTATGAATTTGTATCAGTTGGCCTACAGTACCGAGGTCGTGTCAAGGTTGCACAGGAGGTCATGGGTTTGGTTTAGGCTCTGTGGTAAGGCTTAGTGCTGTCTGCCCCTTGATTGCCTCTATGGTGCCAGATCGCCCTTTGCTGGCACTATCAAACCCCGTGTGCCTGCAGTGAGTGGCAGCCTGTGGCGCGTTGGTTTCAAGTGCAGTATAGAGATAAACGCATTCGTTGTGCAAGTGTTTTCATGCTCATTAAAATGTACACGTAGTTTTATATATAAAAAAAAATTTCTACGTATGTCTGTTGAACTTCTTTCGCACCGTACGTCGCCAACCGCGATAATCAGAGGTGCGGGGAAAGGACAATAAACTAAACACAAAAATAAGTTATAAAGAAATGAGTTTTCAATTTAGTTTAGTTTTTTCACTATGTACAGTTATTTTGTCATTTCTACTGCTGGATGTGGGTCTCCCCATGCCAGGGGACGTCAACCTGCGGCTACATAGCCGCACGCGGCTCTTCAAGGACTTCTTCGTCACCGTTACACCACCGCCTCGTACTCACATGCAACGTGGCTCTTCAAATATAGATGGGGTTTTTTTGTTTGTTCCAAAATCAAAAACGGCTCTTATTAATTTGATTTCTGATCTCATGTCTCATACCATGCAGGCCTTGGGGGTTATTTTACCACACTTCAGCAAGTTGCATGGTCAATGTGTGTCGTTAAATACGGGGAGCAGAGTTATGAGAACGTGGAAGTACAGTCGAGTACAGCAATGGATTTGCTGCACTGTCCTCTGTTGCCCAACATGTAGCCCCACAGCCCTATGACGACCTGTTTGTGCATGGTGGTCACCCATGAAATAAATAAATCACTCTCCTGGGCCATTCCTGCTTAGGCTATGAGATTTGACCCAATTGGGTGCGTTCCAGGTGATAGGCTCACACGTAAATATGATGAGAATCTAAGTGAAATATTTAATTATATATACCCTCCGTATTCTTGGATGTGTGTAAATATAAAAGGGAATAAATACCCTTCTGCAAAATATTATTATTTATGTATTGTAACATTTAGTAATTAAAGTTCAACAATCCAAATACCACCCTGGCTGCAACATTTCAAGGCTATCCCGGTTTAATGGATCAAATTGATAATTCAATTAAACATTTAACATCGATGACTCCTTGGAATCAATTAGTTTGATCTTTTTTTAATACTGGTCACCAAGCTTTATTGTAACGCCTCCAGAAGTCAGGAAGTCCTCTGCAAGCCATGCCCAGAGCAGAAAGAATTATGAAAAATAAGAATAGGTTTGACCCTTTCTGGCAATAAAAAAGGTGTTAAAATTTTCAAACACCAAATAGATACATTTTAGAAGGCATCAAGTCTGCATTAACTTGTGGCAAAACATGCAAACAGACATGCTTTGATAATATATGCATTGTCTTTGAAACTGATTGGCCTACACCAGAGACAGCCTTCTTTATGGTCTTGTCCACCCAGTGTTAGACCACAGAACGCCAAAAGGCGAGCCGTTCAAAGACAATGCAAACAGTTTTCATAATTTTGGATACTGGCAAAAAGGTCCCATTGATACAGCAAGAATGATTTCGCCGATGACATCATCAGGTCCCACCGGTCGCCTCCTGGTTGTTGGGTTTTTTACTTGTTGTTTGTGCGAGTATGATAACGGTCATTTAGAATAGTTGCATGCGAATTAGGTTAAGTATTTTTCACAATTCATGTTGCATGTCATCATCGGTCACATGCACCAGCCCAGAGTGTAGCGGCAACCAGGCAACCCTATCCTGAGCACGCCAACACGGTCCAAGACCATGGTGTTTGACGTCAGACTCAACAGTGGCCGTAGCATCCACGTCAACTGTGGTCTGCCACAAGGTCAACTCTTGTCCCGCGGTAGGCCGTTTGATGATGGTGTGATAGGCCGAAGAGGCGAAGACCTCCTGACCCTGGCCATTTCAGTTACTGCTGGAGATGCTCTTCGAAGACTGGCCAAGGCGTTGGTGATGCACTCACTGGAGGTGATGCAGAGTAACCAAACGTGTCCAGTTTCCTGCACAAAAGCGCTGTCATTGACCACGTAGCTGAGCCCTGCAGCAGTACGGGGAGGATGCACGCTTTGTAAAGGCAGATCTTTGTTGCCGTTGTAATGGGAGCCACAGTGGCGAGATGTTAACTATCTCGCCTGGTTTATAGGACGTCGTGGGTTCGATCTCGACCCTGACGATGCCTGTATACTTGAAATTTGAATGTTCTCCCCGGGGTCGTGTGGATATTTCGCCGGGTCCTCTGGGTTTTCCCTTCACATTTAGAAACATGTGTTTAGAGTATTTGGCTGCTACACATTTCCACATAAGCTACATCTTTGAGCTATCATTTGCGGGCCAGGTCACCTCTGAAAAAGAGGTCAGTGGGCCTTACCTGGTAAAATAACAAATAAATGCTGGAGCAACAGATGTATCTATTGAGCTGTTTCATGCACCCGTGCGCAATTGAGATGCATTTTAATTTCTGCCTCACTGCTTCCAGTATGTTGCATGTTGCAGCCGAGGTAGACGAATGATTTTACCATTTAAATATTGATTCCTACTACAATGAGGGAAAAAAGTATTTGATCCCCTGCTGATTTTGTACGTTTGCCCACTGACAAAGAAATGATCAGTCTATAATTTTAATGGTAGGTTTATTTGAACAGTGAGAGACAGAATAACAACAAAAATCCAGAAAAACGCATATCAAAAATGTTATAAATTGATTTGTATTTTAATGAGGGAAATAAGTATTTGACCCCCTCTCAATCAGAAAGATTTCTGGCTCCCAGGTGTCTTTTATACAGGTAACGAGCTGAGATTAGGCGCACACTCTTAAAGCGAGTGCTCCTAATCTCAGCTTGTTACCTGTATAAAAGACACCTGTCCACAGAAGCAATCAATCAATCAGATTCCAAACTCTCCACCATGGCCAAGACCAAAGATGTCAGGGACAAGATTGTAGACCTACACAAGGCTGGAATGGGCTACAAGACCATTTCCAAGCAGCTTGGTGAGGTGACAACAGTTGGTGCGATTATTCGCAAATAGAAGAAACACAAAAGAATAAATCTCCCTCGGCCTGGGGCTCCATGCAAGATCTCACCTCGTGCAGTTGTAATGATCATGAGAACGGTGAGGAATCAGCCCAGAGTTACACGGGAGGATCTTGGCAATGATCTCAAGGCAGCTGGGACCATAGTCACCAAGAAAACAATTGTTAACACACTACGCCGTGAAGGACTGAAATCCTACAGCGCCCACAAGGTCCCCCGGCACAAGAAAGCACATATACATGCCCGTCTGAAGTTTGCCAATGAACATCTGAATGATTCAGAGGACAACTAGGTGAAAGTGTTGTGATCAGATGAGACCAAAATGGAGCTCTTTGGCATCAACTCAACTCGCCGTGTTTGGAGGAGGAGGAATGCTGCCTATGACCCCAAGAACACCATCCCCACCGTCAAACATGGAGGTGGAAACATTATGCTTTGGGGGAGGTTTTCTGCTAAGGGGACAGGACAACTTCACCACATCAAAGGGACGATGGACGGCTACCATCAAATCTTGGGTGATAACCTCCTTCCCTCAGCCAGGGCATTGAAAATGGGTCGTGGATTGGTATTCCAGCATGACAATGAGCCAAAATACACGGCCAAGGCAACAAAGGAGTGGCTCAAGAAGAAGCATATTAAGGTCCTGGAGTGGCCTAGCCAGTCTCCAGACCTTAATCCCATAGAAAATCTGTGGAGGGAGCTGAAGGTTCGAGTTGCCAAACGTCAGCCTCGAAACATTAATGACTTGGAGAAGATCTGCAAAGAGGAGGGGGACAACATCCCTCCTGAGATATGTGCAAACCTGGTGGCCAACTGCAAGAAACGTCTCACCTCTGTGATTGTCAACAAGGGTTTTGCCACCAAGTACTAAGTCATGTTTTGCAGACGGGTCAAATACTTATTTCCCTCATTAAAATGCTAATCAATTTATAACATTTTTGACATGTGTTTTTCTGGATTTTTGTTGTTATTCTGTCTCTCACTGTTCAAATAAACCTACCATTAAATTATAGACTGATCATTTATTTGTCAGTGGGCAAACGTGCAAAATCAGCAGGGGACCAAATACTTTTTTCCCTCACTGTACTTGCATTTCCTTCAGGCCATGTGGCTTCTCCACGGTGGTTTTGTTTTGGTTTTCATCCAGTTTACTTTCCAGGCCAAATGAGAGCGCTTCATTTGCATGATATCCAGTGCAAGGAGTGGCATTACATGCATCTCACCTAGTAGGGCAATATCATCTGTATAGTCCAGAACAGTGGACATATGTACACGTAACTATGAATGTGGATCATGTAAATAAATGCAATCGTTAATAAATGTGAATAATCGGTAATAATTGTGAAAGTGAAAATATTTCAACATATGGCACTCATATCAATATGAAGTGACACAAGATACATTAATACTGAATAACTGAATAAACAGCTACATTTGTGCATGTGTTCTTTTGGTACATTAATTGAATCAACACGTTAATAATGCCTCGTGTATGTTAATGCCGCTAGTAGCGTTCATTGTTCAGCACATTATTTTAAAGAACATTCACAGTTTTGCAAGATTATTTATGATAGTAGACTAACACTTCATAGTTGGCAACCTGTACAATGACTCCCTGCACGAATTGCAACGAATCCTGTTCTGAAAACGAGTTCAAGCTTTGCACGCGTCTCCGACGTTTGCAAATGAAAGCATATTCCTTATCTAAGTCAATCGATCGAATCAATCATTTGTAGAGTCCATCAATAAGTTAGATACTGTAATTGTTTATGACGGCTCTACGAGGATATATTTTCGTGGTTTGAAGCATCCCCTTGGCAAAAACATGTTTTTGCCTTGGGGTTGACTCACAGGCAGCCACGGACAGCCTCCTGGGGTGCCTCGCTTAAAAATAAAAACCTGGAAATTTTGATCAGGCTCTTCCACATGGCTGAACTCTTCAACCCTGTTTGAGCCTGTCACAGAAAACTCACTGGGGAAGTTGTCATCCTTCAGCTTCTCAATAACCAGCCGAGGTGGAGCAGACTTCTGACTCCTCATGCACCTCCAAGGAGCCCTGAGAGTTGCTACAGCGAGCCTGCGGTCCTTGATGAAGAACTCAGCACCTTGGAAAAACCCATACATTCTGGAGGTGTTACGTTTCGTTAGTTTGGGTGTAATTGTCCGCAGTCCCTAACGTTATGTCAAGCTTCGCTAGGAGCTATAAAGGGCCGCGGTCCCTGGGGTTCAAGACCACTTCCTGAAGTCGTTGAGTAAAGCACTCGTTCATGTTGAAGCTTCTCTGCCCCTGGTCTGATTAAGGAGTGAGTCCGTGGTTTCCCTGGAGGGTCAAGACACAACAAGAGGGGTTTGCAGTGGAGGCGCCTTCAACTCCTGTATGTGATTGATTTTATCCATGTGCACTACAAATAATGGGCACCCAAGCCCAGCAGTGCAGGTGAGCATGCTCATACCAGAAGCCAGAGTGATGTCAGACCCTGAACCTTGACATTTTTCGAGAACGAAACCATTGTTGTTTCTGACAAGAGACCCATGTGAACTAAACCGTGACTCAGAGATACCATTATCAGCATTGAATTTGCTAAGAAGAAGCATATTGATGAGGGCGACATGTCTACCATTGAAGCACGACTTAAGATGACGACGCATATTACTAACCTCGGTAGAAGTGTCTACGCATGTATTATTACATGCTCAATAGCCATGGTAGCCTTTCAACTGATGAAACAAGTCCGCTTGAGATCACGAAAGCAACCGATTTTTTTTGGTGTTCGCCCCTTCCATGGCAACCAGATCAAAAGTCGGCTTGCCAACCTTCGCCACACTCACTCTTCCCAGGGTGACAGGCCTCAGGAAGAGAGCAGCTAACTCAACTGGCGATAATCTCGAATGCGCCACTCAGATATTCCAGCGGAGATTACCTACCAAGTGTGGAACCGTCTAGTTCAGACATGGGCAAAGTACGGCCCAACGGGCCCTATACGGCCCGTTGGGCTTTTTAATCCAGCCCGCCGAACTTGTCCAAATATTATTAAATTAAATTTTACCTTTCTCCTGTAATGCCCCCATTTCCCCATTAGATGGCGCACTTTGACGGGGAGTGTGGAAATTGGTTTGGGCGCAGGCCTCAGATGTTTTCATGATGTTTGATCAGTCACGTTACGACATGTTTTTGTATTGTTCATGTTAGTGCAATTTGTTAAATTGCCTTGCAAATAAATGCTTCGGTACCTGTTAAAGGCCAAATCCTTTAATGTAATGATTTTTACGTGTCATTTATATTAGCTCACACAAACACTCCATCCATCTGTTCCTGGCCCGGCCCCTCTGTCAAATTTTAGAACCCATTGTGGCCCGCGAGTCAAAAAAATTGCCCACCCCTGGTCTAGTTGGATGACTCCTCGGCATCAATTCCACGTTACTGTTTGTCCCCCACCTGAAATGTCTAAACTGGCTATGGCAAGAGGCACCGATCTCTCACGTTCTTGTGGGAATTGCGAAATGCAACGACCCTCGACTCCCCTCCGAGCTGCTGTAATATTTAGTCATGTAATTGTATCAAGTACTCGCCCAGTGTTCCAACGTGTTATTGGTACCCATGGCACTCCTCTGCCATCGGCTTGAATGGTGCAGCTGTTGATCCGCCGCGCAATGCATTCACCCGACTTGGCATTATCCCATGCAGCCTCCGTCTAATTCCAGGCCAGGACCCTTACAGATGCCACCCCTCCGGGTCAAACGGGACCAGAAGCTCATGAAAGGCAAGGTCACTTTGCTCCCTGGCTATGCTTACGAGAAGGATACCCCATTGCTTTGTGTGCACAGGCAGCCGAGTTGGCAGGTGAGGGACAACAACTGTTGGGTTAAGGGCATTGTTGGTAATGGAATTGCTGAACCCGAGTGTTTTGGCGCTTCCATTATCTTTGCAGGAAAACATTATTATGCTTCTGGTCTTGCTCTTTGAAGATGATGTGGGGACACTTAGGGGTCCATTGAGGGTACATATAAATGTATTTTCACGTTTCTTCACAGAAAAAAATGTGGTACTCATCGTTTTTTCTGCATTTCAACCATGATGTGATATATCTGCATGATAAAGAAACCAACTAAAACCATTTTAGCACGTGGCTCCTTCACATCCCTTTGGTTGACACTGCCCCCCAAGTTCTCTGTAGGAGCGTATCTCATAGCTGTAGGAGGCCTAGGGATCAGCCATGACCATGTTGGCCGCATCAGATCTCCCAGTACTGTTGAGACTTTGAGATAAGTGGCAGTTGGCTCGAGATGACAGACTTTTCCCCCTCAATTCCTATTATCAGCTTGCATTCGAATAGCCTCATAGTGAAATATGTGACAAATAGACTCTCATAATAAAGCAAAAGTTCACCACGAGAAGAACACTTGGTAGACTGATACAATCGGTGAACCCGTACTCTTGAGCAAGTCGGTATACAATGTGATCTGCCACTTTGTGCTCTCTCATTTCTATAAATTACCTTTCCATATATATTTTTTACTTACACCATATATGAGACACGCAAAATGTTGCTGTCCACAGATGTGTTTTACTCACTGCCTATAGAGATTGCTCGAGGGGCTGCCAGGAGGAACACTAGAGGTTAGTGCCAGAAGGTAGTTGCTGCTACGCGCTTTCTAGGTGGATATTCCGACACTTGAATTTGTATTCATATAATTGAGACTATTGCGTGTATACATTTTGTAAACATTTTTCCACAGATAAGCCTTACAACAAACATCATAGTTGTATTCTTGGTTCTTTCGGTAAAGTCACGTAAAAAAACGTATTGTTTTATTTGTATTATTTTATTATTTCCCTTCTACCTGGTGACTTTACCGAAAGAACCAAGAATATGACTCCCTGCAGTCACGAAAGCTTTAAATCGAAATCATAGTTGTATTAATGCTTTACTGAATAGCACTACATTTATTTAGTCTTTTAAAAACATGTTTTTATACATGTACCTTTATAAGTATAAGTCTGTGTTGTTTAAGTGCATGGCTATACGTGCATCTGTGCACGTATAGCCATGAAACACCAAAACGACGTCTGGAATACAGAAACAAATGTTGCTCTCATGGTCTTCCCAAATGTAACTCAAGTGGTTCTTGAATCACTCAATGCAGGGTTATGAAAGGGCATGCTATAAAAACAATCTCGCTACCTGTGAAATGTTTTTTTTTCACAATGTAGGTGTGTTTATTAAGGTGTGATGAGGCAAGATGATAAATGCTTGAATGCCGTGTAAATGCTGGTTCAACAACAGCTTAATTGATGGCGGCTAATGGGAAAAAGTGAAAGCGCTGCTGCAAAAGGTTCCCATAGAGATGGTGCTTTATAGTGGACTCGGCAAGCATGCGTGCACACTGATGACTGGCACTGCACCTTGATGTTGGCCCTTAGTAGCACCATTGCATGCAGTGATCACTAATTCTAGGGCAACAGCAAATGTAAAAAAACAACATATCTATGGCGATAGATGGCCTGGTCCATCATATCTCTCAATGATTCCAGAGTTAAATGAGGTACCTCCGTGACTCCCCTACAGTTAACAGCATTCTCATGCCTATAAACCATCATCCGTAAGAGTGCTCTTTCAGCAGACGTCCACATTTTTTTTGCATGCAAAGAACATACATTTATGTTTATTTCAAAGTCATCCATTCCCCCTGTCTGCTATTTTATTACCTAGTATGTGCTGCAATTCACGATATATGTGGTTAATTTCCTCCTGCTTATTAAGACGATTGCAGTTATTGGGTTCATAAATATGACAGACAGCGGTGGCATTTGAATATTATTACCCTTAGAGCGAGCGTCGGTCGCATGCAAAGCCACGGCTTTATTTTCTGCACGTTTTCGTTGATGACTCCGGCTGCACGGGTTTGTGTGCAAGCTAAATGCGTCTACTCGTCGCTACTTCTCAAGGCAATCCTTTGCGGGCGTCGCATCAGCACTCGGGGCTACGGTGTGATTTGTGTGTCATAGAAACACTTGTGTGGCACGAGAGTGTCGTACAAATGTGTTGCTGAGTCTCCTAATGAGGAGCATTGCTGTTCGGCAATTGAAATGAATAGAGAGTCCCGTTTGCCAGTGCTAATTAGTTGTAACTGGATCAAGGACATTTTACCCTCGAGCAAATTTAGAGAAGTAAAATGTGATCCCGAAACCAATGCCTTAAATTACTTTGCTAATTCTCACCACAAAACATTGTCGAGTAATTTTAACGTTCAAATGCATTTGTAGTTTACTTATTTATATATTTCGGTTGAACAACCCATCATCATAAAAAATGGGTTGAAAGCGGTTTGCTGAAATGTAACGAGGATGTTTCATGTGGTGTGTTAACAGAGGTTGTTTTTTCAAGGTTAGGGTTATCATCTCTAGTTTTTGTGAGACAGCCTACCAGGACATTTCAGAAACACGTGGTTACTCTTTTACATGACAAAAATGGAACACTTGGGTACAGTGAGCATTAAAATAAATGTGAATGGTTGCACAATGTTATGCTCGATTATGACAATCTTTTCGGAACAGCTTGGGTATTTTGTGTGCCACAATGGGAAGAAATTGTCAGTTTAACACGTAGGCTTTCGCAACCAATATCATCATTATGGATCATCCATGATACAGGTTTTTTGGGTTAGATCGCGTAAATATATAAATGTGTCATTAAAACCCGCCACCACCCGACACAGCCAATTATTAATGTTTGTCACGTAAACAGAATGTGTCAAATTCGTTACTAGTACATGTTGAACTTCTTTCGCACCGTACGTAGCCAACCGTGCTAATCGGAGGTGCGACAGTCACCCACAGAAATGACTTATTGACAAAAATGCTCTGGGCAATTCAGTCACCACCACATATAGAATCTGTCCCGTGGCGTAATTGATATTTCATTTATATATTAAACAAAATTTTATCAGCTGCATAAAATGTTTTTTTTTTATTGGGCTAAAAGTGATAACATGCAGCTCTTGTGCAAATACAACACCTCATCATCGTCATTATCGCGATAATTTTTTGCCCAGCGTAATAAAACCCAAGTCACAAAGAAGACACACTGTAGAAGCTTGAATGAAAGTGAAAAGTGACAAGTAAA